AATGAAGTCATTGCGTTTCAGTTTTTGATGGTCAATTTGTTTAGAGACATGCCGAGATAGGTCTGGAGAAACCCCCGAATAAAAAGTTTCAAATGAATCCAGTCATTTTTCAAAATTATTGGAATTCAAAAAATTCGCACTCATAATTTCAAAGTAAACCTTTTTCCAGCCCATAACCGATTTTTTTACCTGAGCCAATTTTGGATAAAGAGGGGCTTCAGTTAATGAAGAATGCCTCATAGCTATTTCTAATGGTGAAAGCGCGTTAATGCTCTTAATTAAAACTTTATAAAATAAAAACTTCCTAATTCGACTTACCTCTTCTGGATCTGGCAATCCTGTTGGTAGTGTTGGATAGTTGGGATTCGATGTCACAGGTGTTACCTCGGTATTTGTAACGGTGATTGTTGGCACTGCAACGCCCTGTGTTGTGCGCGTCGTCTCTGTGGAGGCCGTAACAACTGTTGATGCTACAGTTACGGTTGTGGCAGTACTTGCCGTTGAAGCGGCTGTTGGTGGAGTTGGTGTCGACTCAGTGGTTGCATTTACAGTTGCTGCCGTTGTCTGCGTTGTTGCACTGGGTGTCGCCGTAGTTGAGACCGTTGATATGGCATCTAATTTATCCAAAGCATCTTGTAATTCATCCTCTAATTGAGCTTTTTCCACAGCCAAAACAATGGTGGAAACACAAAAAGCTGTCGTGGCCAAGGCAAAGAAAATTGCCAGATTCTTGACGGTCAGCACTTGAAGACAAAACAAAACAAAAATTAAAGTGAATTGTAAGAAACAAATTTTATTTTAGTATACGAAATATCCCTTTTTCACACTTACATATCATATTGTTCAGCAGGCAGGATATTTTTTTTTGAGATATTACAAAATGTTCAGTGGTTAGACTTGTTCGGTGGAGTGACCCTGCCGAACTAATTTAAGTATTTTACTGAGGCCTCGTTCTTGCCTACTTTGAATATACATATGTATGAATATCCAATACTGAGTATATTGTATACTTGTAGGTAGCTTATTCAAGACACCTGCCTGTATGTGTAACTTAATTATTTTTTCTTTCAATTTTCAGTAATTTTATTATCATTTTATGAATGCATTTGGATAAACGAGCATTATCGGACACTATCGATCGACTGGTCTGCACGCACGGAATTTCGTAAATAATATATAAATTATTATCTTTTTGCAATCAATTCATAAAACATATCCATATGTATGCATGTGATATAATTTTGAAAGGCTATATGGGGCACAAGACTTAAACCCTCTATCACTAATTTCTAATAATAAGGAAAAAAAAAATATTACCGGAAAATTTTTTCTAGACTAATTTCGGTCCGATAAGTTCAAATTACGCATTCAAATTTCTTTTCACTTTGTTTCTTATCCGTTAGGTGAACAAACGTGAATAAGTGCCTCAGGGCACTATTTGTTCTTAAGCTGACAAAAATATAGACAAAAATGTGTTGATGATTTATTTTTCATTTTTCATTGAAGAAAGTTTTAAATAAATTAAATGTTTGCATTAATTACTGAATAAGATTATGATACGCAAAAAAACAGTTTTCGGCCTTTGAGCAGCACAAATGCATATTTCATTTTGAACAAAAACCCTGAATTTTTGATCTCTCATCAATTTTCTATCTATAAAAGTCAAAAAAAAACAACCACATAGTCTAGTGTAAAATAGCGACCAAGAACAAGAACATCCATACAAGAAATATATACTGTAAGCCCCAACAGTTTCTTGAGACACTTATCTGTTTTTTTTTTTTTCAAAATTTTCACTTCCAATAATTTTTTCGAAGAAATTTTATAGTTTGGTAGGAAATACTACTCTTTTTGCAAAAAAAAATACTCTGCTATCTAAAACTTGAAACGCGTTTCATTTATTGAGCAATGAACTGATTCGCAAACACACTTCTTTGTTGTTAAAAATAACGGGATCATAAACTCTAAACGACCAGAAAGATATTTGAAAGCTTTTAAATGAAAACAACTAGAATCAGGGGTGTAAAAAATTGAAAAAAGATTTGGTACTCTTAACTGTTAGAGGGTTAAATAATTTAAGCCCAATTTTTTGCAGTTGCAAATGCCCCGTTTGATATTTTCGTAAATACATACATATTTATATATAAGTGATCTGCTTAGGGTTGCCCTTGACATCAAATGTGTAGATCAGCGATGCTAAAAGCAATTCAAACAACACCGCTTCCTATGTCCTTCGATAAAAATGCTAGAGTAGTTTTTCTCTGGAAAAATCCTTAAAACCTGTTAATAGACATGTTTAGAATCGACAGTGGCGGATTTATCGTACAGGCAACATAGGCTGAAGCCTAGGGCGGCAGAATTAAGGGGCGGCAAAATTTAAGACAGCTAAATTAAAAGAAAAAAATTTATTTGGATTCAGCTGCACTTGAAATTGTGTTTGTGTCTGTAAAATATTATTAATGATTCATCTCATTCAATACAATTCAAAATTAGAATTACGCTGCGAATTTTTCCTTAGTATAGCAGTCGTTGAAATTTCCATTTAACTTTCATTCACGCGGCTTAGAAACCTGACGGCGCGCCTGCGCGTGACGCAAAGAAACAGCCGACACGCTGCCCCGAGAACGAGAATCATCTAAAAGGTTACCACACTTGACAACACTGCCGAAAAACGAGCGTGCATTTTCGAGAAAATTCTTGATTCCAAGCCCACCAGTTTTTCATAAGTGTATCATAACGTGAATAATCTGAAGGTCAGCTTCCGTCGTATGTCAAATTAGGCAGTGTATCTGTGTATGGTCTTGTGTTTGTCTTGTGCGAGGTCCATGCTGATGTCGAATTTGTTAATTCCGTTATGTATTTCATTATTAACGAACTACATTGTAATAAAGCACTGCCAATAACAATCATATTTGATATATATATATACATTTTTTTTCGTGAAAAAAGGGCGGCAAGTTATGAATTGCCTAGGGGCGGCAAATATTTAAATCCGCCACTGAGAATCGAGTCAACTACTTAGTTGGATATTTCCACACATTTCGAAATTGGGTCTTTCTGCCACTCTTTCGGACCACTGCACATCGTCTAGATTTAATATATAAAATAGTAACCTTACTTCAAAGAAATGGAAGCTAAAATGTTTATATGAAGAGCCCACGAAATCAAAATTCACTTTCGTTGTTGATGTATCCGACAGGGTAGGAGTATGATGTATTGTGTAATGATTTTTAGTCATCCCTTGTCAAATTTCCAGAACGAAAAATGACACTGAAGATGTCACATCGCCGAAACCAAACTTGACAAAGAATGACGTAATATGGTTTCAAAATACATCAAAAGAAACTTTTTTTGAGAAGAAAAGAGTAAGTTAATAATGATGTCATTTAGGTCTTTAAATAATCCGCTTTAAGAATATTTTATACGAGCATAACTACTTTTTTATTTCTGTGCAAAAAGCAAAATCAGTCACGTCCCAATATTTTTTTTCAAATACCAACACATCTTAATTCAACTTGGAATGCCGCTCGTTCATCCAATCTTTCTCTTTCACCCTTTGAGTGAGCTTATAAGCAAAAAAAATAAAAATGGTGAGAAAATATCTTTCCAATGATGCCTCGCAAGTTTAAATCGGCATAGTTTAGGTTAAATTCAAGTTATTCAAGTTGTTCTTATACCAATCTTTGTAAAAGTTAAGTAACAGCATCAAAAATTTCGTTATTATGAGTCCGTTGAAATTTTTTTTAAATTTCTTTTAAATATTTTTATGCAGTTTTATAAGTCTAAACCGTTTTGTCATTTGAGGAGATTAAGAAAAAAGTATTTAAGAAACTATTTGAATTCATAAAAAACTCCTGTTTTGAAGGTATTTTCAAATCGGTCCAGCTCACGTAAGTTTTAATATCGTAATCGAAGTATTTCGGTGGAAGTCTTCAAATATAATAGATTTTATAATTCCAATGGAAACGCAGTACCGATTTTTTTTTTTTTGATGGGCAGTGATACAGTCTAATGTACATACATATGTAGGTAGTGAAACAACGGTTTTATCCATCTACAAAACTTTCTTTTGGCTTCAAACTGATTTTCCTTTAGAAAAATAAACAGGTACCAAGTTTCTGAGGATTACCTTCTTCTAGCAAAATAACTAAATACGACTATTTCACCTTATGCGAATTATTGCCACTACATACATAGTATACCAATAGGAAAATAATTAGGCTACGCTTTAAGACAGCTATTTGTAGTAGCTTATCAGTTTTCGTAGTGTACTTTTAGGCGCCGCTGTAACGTTTGTTTGCTTACAAGAACCGAACCCAGTAAACAATTTAATGAGCCATTCAAGCCAGCCACATTGACGTACATATGTACATATAAAAAAGCTGCGCAATCAAATCATAAATTATACAACAATTAATTTGTAAATATGTATATTATTAAAAAAAAAAAAGATCATTATATTAATGGGCTAACATAAATTTTGTCCGGCTTTACTTTGTGGTTAGAGACGAATTCGAATACCACGGCGAAGATGAAATCTAGGACGAAAACGAAAACAAATGCGAAGACGCACATCAAGATGACCTAGGTGGTGGCGTATGCCAATACGTTTTTAAAGGTGAAGGCCTTCAGCGACATCAAAAAACTTGCAAAGTCAGTCGGATAAATAAAGACCCTCTGGACTCCTCGTAGCATCAGACCAGGGAACCGTATCATAAGATTATACGTTTTTCCGAAAAGTCGTTTGCGAGTGTAAAATTCCACGCTTTAACCCTTTCACCCTCCTTATTTTTCAACTCAGGCATCGTATTGGCTTTCGTATTATATATTTTAAGTGGGATCTAGCTGGGAACAAGCTAAGCATTTATTCATCGTTTGTAGAGCGCTTCAAAGTTGTACGAATCATTGAGGACATAAAAGCCAAAAATAGTCTGTGAACTGAATTTAACATTTTATTAAATAAATGTATAATTTACTTTCAATGCACTCCAGATGGCAAGCTATTTATTAAATATATTTTGTTCATTTCCTATGACGCGGAATGCTCAGTCAGCCACGCTCCAACGTTTTCCTTATTGTTTGCCAACCAAGCTATGTTATTCTTCACTGTCTCCAAAGCGCGCACACGTGCTGCTGCACCAGCGCCGGCCTCTGGATATTTAGCAAAGAATTGCTCCATTTCTTCCAACTTGGTTTGTTTGTCGAAGCGCGACGTAATTGAAGGAATCATATTACCCAAGTAACGTTCATTCAAACCGAAACGGTCCACTAAATCGGGCCAATGTTCGCGCACATAATCCCAGACGATTGGTTCACCAACCGGGTTGGCGGCGATATATTGCAAACAAGTGAAATAATCTTGACTGCGCACATTATTTTCATCCCAGGCGAGATTGATATAGCTGCAACGATTCACGAATACAAAAGTAAAGGAGTTTAAAAAGAATTATTAAGTAAAATTCACACTTACTTGCTCAAAATCCATGGTACTTGCACAGCTGACAGGCCGTACATTAATTTCGATTTCTCACTGGCATCAGACTCGTTCACGAAGAGTTCCCACATCTTGTTCCAGGACTGCTCATTAGCGGCGTATGCCCCATAGTAGTAGACTGTTTGACGAATGTCTGGATGTGGGCGCACATCTGGAGTACCAAGCCATGCATTAAAGCGTGTTGCTGCTTCTGTTAAGCATTCCTCCACACCGAGGGAGCACGCAGCCGATAAGATAGAAACACGCAAGAGGCTAGGAAAAGTTTTTTATTATTTTATTTTATTTAAAAAAAAAACACTATTCTTCTTTTATTTTCAAACATACTTTTGTAAATGATCATCACCTACTGTCCACGTAACTTGTTCATAGATTGGCTTTATTAAATTGCGTGAATACTGGTTGTAATTGCCATAAACTTCGGTGAACATAAGCGAACGTTTGAGTGAGGTGAGCTTCGATGCCGCCACACTCCAGGGCACATATTCGGTTTCCTTTGCCAAATATTCCGTCATGTCGAAGGCCGTGTCGTAAGAGAGCTGCGTGGCATCGGCGAGCGAGAAGGCATCATTTAAGAGACCAGCGCGATCACCAACTGAAAATTTCTAAATAGGTAGGGAGGAAAAAAGATGGTACAAATTTAGGAACTATTTATTTGTATTGGATACATACATACTACTCTATTTATATCAATTAACTAGCAATTACCCGGCGTGCTTCGCTGCGCCTTAAATGTATTTTTGTGTTGTAACTCTCCCCCTAAGCTCTTATGGCCTCATTTACAAAATATTTTTAAAGAACTTTATGAAGTTAGATTTAAAAAAAATCGATCTATGAAGCATTGTTTATTTTTTTTTTGAGTTAATATATTTTCGAAGGTAATTAGAAAATATGTAAAGAACCGACTTTCTCTTGGAAATTTAATTTATAATCTTATAACTGGAGTCTACTATCGCACCCTTTCCTCAAACTTGTATTGATTCAATATTCAAATAACGTATATTTATATAATTTGAAAAAATCTCCCTACTATACAAATATGTACAGCAATATTAACTAATATTTTCAAATGTTGAGAGAGGGGGGTAACAAAACAAAATTACTTTTAAGGCGCAGCGAAGCACGCCGGGTATTCGCTAGTTAGTTAATATTGCTGTACATATTTTAACAAAACAAATTCGTGCCTTTAAATAAAAGAATTTACTTATTCCATAAAAATATTTTGCAAAAAATGTAAATATCTTTGAGATTAATTTGATTTATTCAAACATTTTTTTTTTTGTGCGTGAAAAAACAAAATCAGACATTTTATGTAGTTCAATCAAAAAATTCCCAAATTCTTTTCAATTTGCATACACTCGCACTTTTTACCAATACACCCACACATTGCAAATTGCCTATCATCAATTTTTTTTTCAAGACGATAAGTAATTTCTCGTTCTATTTCAACAGCTGATCGATCATAGCTTTGGGAAGTTAGTTTTTGTTTGCAGAAAATTGTCTGCTTAATAAAATATAGAAAAAACAAAGAAATCGTATACGTGCGAACAAAGTGAAAGCAATGTTTTGAACGTGTAAACATAAATTAAGCGAACAAATTTTAGTGCTCAATTCGGTTGTATTTTCAAAACATTTTTGCCTACCAAAAGGTTCATCAAACCAACCAAGCTACCAAAGGAGAATGAACCTACCAATTTTGGTCCAATTGGACCAAAACGGCAACGCTGATGCTCGTCAATGAGCGAAACAGAAATCGTTTTGTTGCACTTTTTTCTTTGCAAAGTTTGTGTCTTTGGACGAATCATTCGTGAAATGTTTCGTTTGTTTTGAACTCTGTGTATGGACATACTTGGATACATACATACATATGATTAGTTTGTTGTGTCAACCACATACTGCACATGACTTCGAAGCGATGCTTTGCCTTTCGGTTATAAATGTGTACACACATACATATGTATGTATTTAGCATGTTCAATCAGTGATCGCTGTTTAGCTCAAATACGTACATATGTGTGTATGTATGTGGTATAGCGCAGTCACGTCGCTCATACACATCTCTTTTGCCTTTGTGAGCTCGTGTTTGATCGGCACTGATGTACAGATTTTTCGCGTAGCTATGCGCTGTATTTGGCAACCAAATAGGCTTATGATTGTACGTCTCTGTAATTTTTTGTATCTTTACACCCAAAAAAAGGGTGCTTATCTTCCAAGAATAAAAAATATACATAAGTATGCCACTCTGCGCCTTTTTACAAATGCTTCGTTTAAAAAAAAAAATATTAAAATCGGTTCAGTACTTTGAGAAATAAGTCGTTACAAACGTACTCCATATAATCAATTTTATTTAACAGTATAGATGAGCGGAAAGGAACGAAGTATGGCTCCTAAATGTTATTATTTTTCGATACGATGCAAGTGGATGGTTATTAGAAGAAAGTGTGATATCTACTACATATGTATTAGGGTGAAGCGAAAAAGTCACTTTTTGATTTAAAAAAACACATTGCACCGGGTTAAACCGTTTCCTATCGGATGGTATTCAGCCTTATCATGAGTTTCATTTTCCCCGAACCGGTTCACTTTTCATTTTTGGTTTCCTTGGTTTTACTATGGGCGGATGACAAATTTTCGGGTGAATTTTTTTTTCAGGCGAAACTCAGCAGATTTACATTCTACCGAGAACCTAAAAGTTTCGAAAAATCTCAGAAATTATGGTTCTTGTATACTTTTTTTTAAGATTTTGTAAGCAAATTTTGAGCTTGCTGTTTTGCAACCCATTAAATCATTAAATTTTAGTATGGAAAAGTTTA